GGTACTCTCTCTTTGCTAAGAGTAAGCACTTTTGATGGTACCACTTTTTGCACCTATTGCTCTGAATGCCATCAGCTACATACAAATTGCATCCCGTGCAACCACAATGACTTTCGCTCTGCGCGGAACTCATTGAAAAACGTGCAAAAATTTCAAAAATACGGTCAAGAAAAACAGATAAACGGGTAAAAGGGTAAAACAGGCCGCAACGCTTTGGGAACACCACTATAAAAGACTAAAACGACTCAGATACAACTTTTGTGAACCGCTAAAGGGTTCGACTATTTGCATAGTAGCACTAAACTTTTTAGTGCTAAAAGTGTGAAATATCTATGGTTATTTCACTAGTTTTCAACCACAAAGTTTTTAATTTCAGGAGCAATTCGAAAATTCAAACCACGCGCGAACGTACCGCAGTTTGCAGAAGAAGACGTGTAGAACTGCAATATAGAACACTCGCAGTGGTAGGGGCAGGAACGGGGCTTACTAACGGAGGAAATCTGGACGCTCGATTGGCCGTGGCCATCTCCTGTCCTGTGCAACTGACTGACTGACTGACCTGGCCTGACCTGACCTGACCTGATTTGCGAGCATTGATTCACATCAATTGCGACACACCAGTTCTTGGGTAACTGTATGCGCTGGATTCAACTTTTTTCGCGAGATGACAAAGGCAGACAGTTTTCATGACAAAGAGAAGTCGACACAGGCTCTGGTAAGACAAAAATGACAAAAAATTGTTTGGATCACGAATTTATTTTATTTATTTATTTTATTTTCAAGACATTACTTGTCTTTACACAATTTCGAATGATAAAGTTGTGAATGTTTGTCGGTCTTGGCAACTCGTGGAAAGCGTATTGAGCAACTTTCTTACCCAGCAATTTTGTTAGTAAATAACACTTTATAAGAAAGAAGGGCACTGGTTTATAGTTGACTTGCTTTAATTCTGTTTTTCACTGTCGTATGAAAGTGACGTGATTAATTTTAATCAAGTTTAATAAATGAAAAGCAGATTAACATATGAGGAAGGAATTTATCCACCACACTGAATCTGATGCATGCGGTCCTATATGGCTCTAGGAGATGAATATATATTCGTGTGAAGGAAAGTACTCGTGGCAAAATTATAATTTTCATTGGGAAATCACCATGCGGCGAAAGTCGCCTTGATAAAACACCCCACCCCACTGAAGTACTTGTAGGTTACCATGCCAGATTTCATGGGTATTTCCGCTTTTTATGATTTCGCGATTCATGCTATTTGTTGTGTAAACATTATTTCTTGACGTCGAGTACACGGTGTTCAGTTCAGTTCTCACAGGACGATCTGTGGCTTTTACCAATCGAGCGTCCAGATTTGTGTGTTGTCGGCGACTTTCCTTGGCTTCCAGCACTTCGATATGCATTTTTAGAAAGGCAGAATAGTGTGGTGCAGTATCATCCTTTGAGGTTAAATTATAGGCGGTCCTAAACGCTTACCTCAGGCAAAACCGCTATTCAACACTCATTAAATGCCTTTTTAAGTGCATCCACAGTACTGTAGTTTACTACTGCCAGCGGCAACCGTTTCCACAACGGAATTACCCTGAACAAGTCATCAGACCTAAGGCCTGATATACCTCTGACAATCTTAAATGTCTCGGTTAGGTCTCCTCTCAACCGCCTCCGTTTGAGGGAGAACAGATTTAAATCTCTGAGCCGCTGTTCATAGCTTTTCCCCCGTTGCCCAGCTATCATCTTTGTGACCAGAGGTTGAACTATCTCCAAGGGGGAANAAGGGGGAATAATGCATCACCAATATCTCATAATACGGCAACAATTTTTGGAGAGTATTTGTAGTTGCAATTGGTCAGATCAGATTAAGTTGGTTGTCTTCTCTGATGGGGTGCCATGCTTATTTGACTCTCCTTACTTTGATCACTAGCTACCACCGATGCAAAATATTTCCTTAATGACTGTATAGTAAAAGTGATCAAACTGTCGCGGCATCCACTCGACCCTTCACAAACAGCCGGATGTCGCGACGGCGCCACAGTTGTCTCAATTTGGCAAATGTCAACCGAGCCTTCAGCGAGCGCACTGGCACTTCATCCGTGATACGTCCACCAGGTGAGACGTAGCTGTCCAAGAAACAAAACTAATCCACTTGCGCTATTACTCCCCCAGTTCGAGTAAGGCTGGGTGTTGAACTAACCCAATCTTGTAGTAACATTTTACACTTTGAAGGTGCAAAACGCATACCAAACCTGGCTACGCTGGCATTTAAGCTATTCAGAAAAGCTTGCAAGTTACCTGGATCTTCACTTAGTAGCACAATGTCGTCTACATGCTCTAGATCAGGTATTCTGTCACCTGGGAGTAACTCGATACCGCTATTCTCGCAAGGGGAAAGAGCTGTCAAAAGAATTCAATTTATGACAGTAAAATAGAAGAGGAGAGAGAGGGCAACTCTGACGAACACCTCTGTTCATGGTGAACTCGGGCGAAAAAGCGCCGTGAGCTCGGACTTGTATTATTGAAATCAACTTCTCAGGCACACCTTTCAGGGTAAGGCAACGCCGGAGTTTGGATCAGTCAAATGAGTCAAAATCCGCTTTCAAATCGAGAAAAACTGATATCGGTGGTCTACGAAACACGTCGAGAAAGTGGCGAAAATTGGTGTGGTCGATACAACCTCGATCAGGTTTAAAACCAGCCTGGTTTTTACGCGTGTACTGTTCGCGTGCGGCAGAACATCGACGGAGTATGATGCCAATGAAAAGTTTATAGGTAATGTTGATTAATTCCTCTGTGGTTTTTACATGAGGATCGGTCACCTTTCTTGTAAATCTAGGTTGGCCATCGAGCTACCTTAGCAGGGATCCTTGATAATTTTAATGCAGACATTGTCTAAAATATGCACACAACACCCCACTTCAATTAGCCTACCGCATTCTTCAGACCCAACTTCTTCATGTTTCACTTTCCGCGTGTCAAGCGATTTCGCGCCTAGTCGGTTGTTAAGGTTGAATACTCGCTTGTTTCAATTTCAGTTTACACATTAACCACATTTTCATGCACCGGTTTTGGTTGCGGTCTTTCGACTTGCCATTCGGATAAAACAGTAGAATTAAGATAAACTGTATTGCTGTCATTATCAAACTGTCCACTGTATGCAAATCAACAACCATAGAATCAAGCTTCTCTGCTTATTCACCGTGTCTGTGTATGCAATGATTGGGTCTAAAACGAATTGCAATTTCCTCAGTGATCTTTTAACTGTCACGGGCACCTCCAGTGCTCAAGTGGAATAATCAGAAATATGCATATTCGGCACATAGGTAATCCTTTTAATCTTGAGGAACAGTGGAGTTCCAGGGCCTCAAATCTGCACAGGCCACAATTTTTTTCTTATCAGATAGAAACCCCCACAAAAAATGATACCGTGCTAAAAGGTAACCGTCTAACTTTTCCCAACAAACACCGCCAGTCGATCACACTACCATTTGCCGTCACTGATGGGAACCATTTAAAACTGCCTCATGCGCTGGTCAGTACTCATGGATACGATAGACAGGTTCTGCATTCGGCAAGGAGCCGAACCAATGCACAGGAAAAGGATCCCTATATTACCATTCAAGCGAAAACTCTAAATGGGCCTTCAAAGCAGTGCTCTCTCATCATGGCAGCTCAATTTCCTATCGAAGGACCCAGTGGACAGTGGTGGCTGGTTAAAAACCTATTTAATCATCTTTCAAAGCAATGATAGATTCCCTCCACAAGACCAAAGCATAAACGAACTTTATCGACCCATTCGCTCTGCTGGACCTAAGCCATCAATAGATTACGGTAATGCAGAAGATCAAGGGCCCAGGGTGCATACTTTGTTCAGCGGACAAGAGCTGAGAAGAGGAAACAGGTGTACAATGGGAAACGAACCCTAAGGTGATACAAACCAGATGTGAGTTATCTTGATACCTCCGTATGCCAAATATAGCAGTACACGTAAATCTCTCGAATGTCAGCTCATCAGAAGACTGAGGAGTGACCGTGAGTACTTGTGGGTAGGAAAATTTATGGATGGAGATGGCTTCGGCTACTGGTAGCAATCCCGATTTTTTCCGGGACTACGGATACTACGTTTAAATGAGCCAACCAAGGACAATGAAAGTACATTGAGTCAGGAGGGATTGGGTTACAAAAGAGAGCGAAATAAAGACCAAACAAGTGCGGTGGATTAAGATAACAAGGATACCTCTTTGTTTAGTTCAATGTACATTTTTCTTAGCTTTTTATTTTCCTGGGGTACGGGGTTTCAGCGGGCAGACCACACAAAATTCACTGGCTTCTATTTCGGGCCATATCTCTTGGAGTCTCTAACCAACAACAACCCCCATCCCTTGGGCTTTAACCTAGAAGGCGGGCTGCACTACACAAAGCCGTAGCTGGGGCGAGCTTGTTCAGGCCGCTATGCCAAGTCATAGGCTGACCACCGCAACGTTTCTTCTTGCCTTACTCAGCACGTGCAAAGAAAATCAAGTAAACGTAGACGATAGGCAGGCATACATGACCAAGCTATCGGAGGCGGTGTAGAGCAAATCCTACACCACACCTGAAGGATAACGATGTCGATGTACTCTCAGAGTGCAGGCTGCAGACACTACTGCTAACTGAAGATTCAGGTCCGTTGCTAGCTTTTCTGTATAGTTTGATTGATAGCGTAGCTATGTGCAATATACGTTTAAGTTGCAATGCTAAGTGTTATTATTGGGCTGGTTCGGTTTAGCTCTCTCCTTAACTGAAAAAAGCAATAGAGGAAGTAGAAAAGTTTTACTGCTTAGGTAGATGCATCTCGCCTGTTGAACTCTTCACATATATCAGTAGTTATCAGGTCCAAATGTGTAAAAATTTGTGTATACACAGTTAGATTTTATTAGTCAGAAGTCCACGTTCTTTGCCTTCCTCCAATTAGGTCCGATCTCTCTTTTTGTTACACAAAGGTCTGTGATGGACAGCAGACGGTGGAACTCCATAGTTACGAAGATCTGCTGTTCAGTGATAGTAAGCGGCAACCTAAGCCCCGGGACTTGGAGTGGCGAACCATATAAGGCTCCGCTACGTTAGGTTTGGTATTGAACGGGGCGACAGCAATGCTGTCGGGTGGCGGTGGAGGGGCTCGAACCCCAGACCACAGGGTTCAAAGCACGCCGGTGACAGCGACTAAACCACTGCGCCACCACCACATATACTTTGCTATACCTTCTCGGTTTAAATCAGCAACAAGAACTATATATACCATTTTTATGTCGCGGTCGAACTGTCAACTACCAATTTAGTGATTGAATCTATACAAGGCGAGCCTAGACTTTCTGAATGAGTGGTCGCGGATTTTCGTGATAGGTGCTCACAGATCTCAATGTTGCAGAAGTGTGCAAACCACATTGCAACTTGGCGATCGCGGTCGGCCACCATATAGAACTACTACCCTTGTGTTTCATTTACGCAAGATACGAACGAACCGCTCTATAGACTATCAAGCTTACTTGGAATAGCCCGACTTCAACTCAATTTGCATGTGGTTGTGAAGAGGCTGGATGTCCAACCTCGAGCAAAAACCCTGGATAACGTGTTGTTGATCATTTTTTATTCTCCGATTTGAATTGGAGAATGAAACGTTTTTCTTTTTATAAGGGCTATTGTACCGCGATTTGTTTGGCACAGTCTGAACTCAGACATGTGTGAAATAAATGAATAAATATATAGATATATATTTCTCCGGGAAACAGATTCTCATAGAAGTAAAGTAATTTTGCTGTAAAGTGGTAATGTTTTGTTGATCGACCAGTTAGTTTCCCAGAGTAGGATAACTAAAATCGGAGCACAAACGTACTGGGTTACTAATTGTACAAACCGATACTGATAACAAAGCTTTTAAAGTATTTTTTGTGCACGAACACTGAACCATCACCCTCAAATAGCATGCATTTGAGATTCGTTCTGTTCACTAAACATTTTGTGTGTTTTATTTGTGCTTACACAAAAGGTGTGGAGTAAATAGAAAAGTAATCTGTTTTAACTGGATTTTTTTCGTTTATCAACTTTATTGTGCTCCATACCTATACGGCAACTTTCTTTCTCTTCTTGTCAGAGCGAGATGGATCAGAGCTTTTTGCGAGCAGCGCGCGCTGGCAACTTGACCAAGGTGATTGAGTTACTCAATGCAGGCGTGAACATCAATCTCAGCAATTCGGTAAGTCGAAAAGGAAAACCTAGTTTTTTATGATACCAGTGTGTGATGAACAACAGACTAGATGGGTCCCATATTCACGAAGATCTGCTGTTCAGTGATGGTAACCGGCAATCTATGCCCCGGGACAGAGTGGTAAACCGCATAAGACCCCGCTACGTTAGGTGTGGTATTGGACCGGTCGACTGCAACACTGTCTACCACCAGTCTTGCTCATTTTTTATTGTTCTATTACTCACTCACTTTTTAATGTTCCCCGTTCTCAGTTGCATCATTTCTCATCTACGAAAGCTGTTGTTTCATTCATATAAAAGTACATTTGAGTACGAGTATCAGTATTTATAGGAAGATTTTATCCGAATAAATGATCAACTTTAATGTATACAGTGAAAAGGAAACCTTAACCGAAAAGCTTAAAAGCAGTATTGAGCTATTTCGATTTTGTTGAGTCTCATCAATAGCACAACTCCACTAACTGGGCTGAATACCAAATCCAATACGTCACAGGTAGAATGTGAACATATCACCCACTTAAATCATGGGACATCTGCCTTTTTGGATCCTTTTTTTATATCTTGTTCGGAGGAAACTCATTGATGTCATCACTTATCTGTCCCTAACGTCCACACTTCAATCACTTGCCTAGTATTGTGCCTTTCCTTTATCACTATCACCAAGAATTTAGCTTTGCGGAGCTTGGCAATTTGGTCGTTCCTCCACTGTAATTAGCTTGTGGAACTCAGTCAACAACCTGTTGAACAGTGGCCTTCAGATCCTCTTTTTCACTGAGCGACGGAATTGTAAAACATTATCTTCCTCTGTTTTTTCTTTTTATAACCTTTCCATATTCAAGCGCGAAATCACTTTGTTTTGGAATGTTCTCCTTAACTCTCTGTACAGTAGCCTCCATGATTATAGGATTTCTCCACCTACCATACTTGTCATGTATTAAAAAGATTCAGATTACATTTACCAGTCTTTGGGCTGTACCTTTTGAAGCTTGCGTACATATTGATGAACGTTCCATATAGGTCCGTTGGTACAAAGTCTTGGTTTTCGGTTATATAGACAGACCACTTAGGTTGTGGGAGCTAAAGTGCAAAACCGCCTACTGTTCTATGTGAACAGCACAAGTGATGTTCGAAGTGCTCATTCAGACTGTGCTGGGAATTCCTACGCATTACTGTGGACGTACGTTTTCACTTCAGTTGTAGGAAGTCAAACTCTTTAGGAGTTTGATTGGACTCGACTAAGCACTAGAATCTAGTTTGTCTAGGTTGTGTTAACCGACCCTAATTTCATATCACTTTCTTGTGAATGTGGAATAATTTAGCGCAGTGGATGTATGAACCATTTCAAGTCTCGAATGGATTGCCGTTTCGAAACACTGTCTCACTACTGTATGGGTTGAATTATTCCATCTGTCTTAGGATGAGGTCTTTCATATCACGTTGCCGCTCTAGTTTGGGTATCCGAAGTGTGGAATGATCCAAAAGGCTCGATTACCACTTGACATGACCTCCCGGCTTTCGCTCATCTTTGTCTTATATCAGATAAAGTGTTATCACATTACTTGTGTTAGATTGATTGCTAAATGTAAACGTAAGCACGATGCGTATTTCAAACTCGGCCAAATTTGGTCCCTGTCAACTAACGACTTTTTTTAACCTTTTTATTACACACTTCCGTGTGATGAACAGCAGATGGGATAAACCTCATAGTCACGAGGACTTGCTGTTCGGTGATGAAAAGCGGTAACCTAAGCCCCAGGACCTGGAGTGGTGAACCACATAAGGCCCCGATAGGTTAGGCATGGTATTGAACCAGACGACAGCAAAGCTGCCTACCACACTGTGTAATCTGAACGGTTTTACACAGGTGAACTGCAATGAACAGCGAGGTTTCCTTGTTTTCGCCACACTTGTGTATCTGTTGACCAAGTTCAGTAAAAGATAGCTCGTTTGTTGGCTATTCTTGATTTCATCATGGTTCGATTGCCTCCTCTCAATCCTTTAGAACACGGAAACGGACGAAATTTTGGTGATAATAATGGCGTTTAGGCTTTCAGTCAAGTCATGTTTTTTTCCCGGAACAATTTTGTTCAACGTTTCATCACCTTCAGGTGTAATGTTTTGTGTGCATCTAAGCGAATCTGTTTTGTTGACAATATCTGCTGATTTTTTTCTCCTCCAGATTGGGCTTACTGCGTTGCATTTAGCCTCCAAAGAAGGTTTCGTTGATATCGTGGATGAACTGATCCGCAGAGGTGCTGATTTCGATGCTCCTACAANAAAAAGGGCAATACGGCTTTGCACATTGCCAGTTTGGCCGGACATTTTGACGTGGTCCGTTTACTGTTGGATGCTGGTGCCAATGTAAACCGCCAATCTGTGGTAAGCGCTTGTTTGTGCATGACCACTACCATCAAGATTACGTTTTAATCAGAAGTTTTCCACGCATAGAGCTCAACTAAAGCTGCAGATTTTCGTCCGTCGAAAACTGGACAAATAGTTTTCTCGCTTATCTCAAACTTCCGGCAATTAAGAGAATCTTAATTGTCCAGAAATGTGACGTTATCAACGACACATCAACTCCGTCCGTTTAATACCTCAAATCTTGAGGTGTTTCATTTGATTTTAAGCTACCAAGGTCGAACTAAAAATAAAGCTGCTCTTTAAAGCACTTCAATATATAGCGTAACTTGAGTCTGATAGGAAGTTCACGGTCTAACCACCATGGAATATTGAATCAGGTCAGGATTCTTCTAAACAACCGATCAGTTTGTCTTTCATGCCTAACCAGGGAAATAAATGACTTGCAACTAGTACAAGCAGTTTGAACTATGTCATACTTACACAACTGTAGGTTTGTTCTATTCCCAAAAGTGTTGTGGTTCAGGTGAAATGCTACACATTTTTGGTGAGATAGTTATTTCATAAGAATAATTCTTCGTGTTTAGAACAAACAAAACTACGAAGCACTGCACTGTTTCGACCTGGTCGGGCCTCATCAACAATGCGAACCCATCGGCCCAACTGGGAATCGAACCCGGGACCTTACAGGTAGGCCGCAAGCATGCTACCCATCGGGCAGCTAATCAGACCGTTCATTAAAAAAGGTTCTCAGTTGAGCAACAGGTTTCCAATAGAGACCAACAATTGCCCATGCTCGTGATACAATACAAACTTTGAACATTTTGTTCAGATCGAACCAATAATTTCATCCTGATCTCGTCTGTACTCGTTACTTTTCGCGCACGCGCGCGTACCCACACACCGTTATAAAAGAAGGAAGGGATACTCTGTGCTTGATTGTGCTAAACTTTCAACAATGGTAGCAGATCTGTCAATGTCACTTCTCTATCTGAACCTGGAATGTGACAGAGTATATAGATCGGCTAGTTATATAATTGAAACCGTGGTTCTCGCTCATTCAAATTGTCTTACAATCGAATTTGGCCCGACCTGATTAGATAGGGTTTTTGACCGCAAAATCCGAACCGGTCACTCATTGTAAAGACTCAGCACGTCATATTTAATCGGGTTCTTGGTTGCATCTTCAACAGATCTCGATTTCTCATTGATCCATTCGACTGATATTATGCATAGCTTGTGTGTCAGATCATGAACGGTGTTGGAATTCAGTTTAGAAATAAGATTACCAGTTGTTGCCATGTCATTCCTGTGGTTTTCTGAACCTGAAACAGGTCAATGTCTGTTTTCGGATGTGACCTGTTTTTTCTTTCTGTCCTAATTAAACTGTTGATTAAAAAAGATTCTCCCAGATATCTATAACCGGGTTGATCGTCCTAAATATTTGATTTTTCCACATATGGTCGGTTTTGTTTTAGTATTCACGCCTAGTATGTCCATCACTTAATCGCGTTTATTTTACTACTATTTGTGCGCCATCATAACCCTGGTTACACGCGAGCGTTTATGCTTTTTCTGGGCACATGAATTTACCAATGGACACGCTCAACTACTTAAGTACATTTTCGTCTATCTTGTATTTCGATTCGCGTATCTCGCTTGCCTACTTGGCGACAACGATGCTGCTGTGAGTTAGTACGTGATTGTGCTTATCTGTGTCTGTCTGTCTGTCTGTCTGTCTGTCTGTCTGTCTGTCTGTCTGTCTGTCTGTCTGTCTGTATGTGTACGGTCCACCCGTCACTCCGCAATCGAAGGAAGTTCCTTCCTCGTTTTCGCCTTCGCTCGAATATTCCTAATCACACGTTTGCTTTACCTGGCCTTCCCCTATAGATTTACGCAACGGTAAAACCCCACAGGTTTCTCTGCCTCCGATAACAGTGAATTTCTCAAAAGGCACTCAGTTTCCTTTGCGTGTTTCAAGCTAACCAACTTACACCGGTGCACTCTCATTCAGTTGGCCTTCACAAAGTTTCACTCGGGTGGATGTACATTTTCCGCGTGGGTATTTGATGATTGATTGTTCGATAGAACCACACGATGGTTAGTTTATCTTTGACACCATTGAGTAGTTTCTGAACCGTTAGAAAAGGTCATATGTATATCGATTGAGTACTATCGCGATTAATCAGCCAAAGTTGTGATATTGATTGGTTTGGCAAACGCTCTTCTCTCAAGTTACCGTTTGTACTTTGTAAAGATCATGGGCTTTAGTAGGAGTTCGTCAGGCATTTCCGGGACTGGATTTCGGCATTCGTGATAAACCGCTTATAGAAGGTTATTCTTTAATTTAATTCACATCGAGGGAGCGGCATTTAAACCTCGTTGGGGACGAGATTTATGGTTGATTATTGTCATCAATATATACACAAAGCTATGTATAATCACCAGCTTAAACTGAGCAAGATATCAATACTATAAAATACAACGATATCAGTTATAGTTAAAAATGTTATTTTCAAAATAGTTTCAGGAATGTGTTATGGTTTTTTGCAACAGTCGTCATTGACCAACTGCCCACGAAAGGGGGATGTACACGTACAGAAAACCCTCCTCAGTTTGGTTCTTTTCGNTACACTTAATGATTTCTTTGTAAACATTTTGTTTTCCACCGAAATGGCACATCCCGTTACGAAGGACGTCCGTATCTCATGGACCAAATACACTCTCTATTCTCATAAATGTGCTTGAAAGAAGGGTCTATGGTTAGGTTACTCAAACAGCCACGGAAGCAGTCTATCGCCAATTGCTTCGCACCGCTTCTCCTCCGCAATACTTTACAGACTGTCGACAACCGAGAATTCACCGATTCGTACACATCCAGCCCCGTTAGTGAATCCACCAAAATATACATACGTTCACCATCTCGTTGCCAGTGTATTTTTATCATTCTCACTAAATGCCGATCATTCATCACCTAGACAGTTTAACAACGGAAATTCGCATTTCATATTCACGGTGGATATGAAAATGCACTCGGTGTCTTTCGTCCTCAAACAACGAGTATTGCTATGCAATTCACATTGTTCTTTCTTCACCACTTGTTGTGTTCACGATGTGGTTCAGTCTCTGGGGGTTTATCTTTCGTATCGGTGACTCTTCTTTCTGTAAGAATGTATCTCCCACAGTGGTTTAGTAATTCGAACAAACAACAAGACTCATTCCTTTGATTTTTAGCTTTGTGCTATCCTCTCACAGTTACGGGCTGATTGTTCTCTTTTCTTTCCTCCACAACATTCTCAATTCCACTGTATCTTTTCACAATTCGGTTTCAATGTTTTTCTCCTGCTCCACGATAGCACGCGTGATGTTTCATGCCAGCTGATCAATAAACGAACGAAAACGTTTGAATAAGCAACTTCTCTTTATTGTTCAGGAAATGTGGGCTTCATGCTTGTTGAAGTTATTACAATACAATACAATACAATACAAACCATCAAACAATTGAATTGAAAGTGAACCTCACTTGTCTGGGCTTGTAAACAGCAATAGTGTACCGATAAAGCACACTGTCTTTATGCATACCAAAGTTGTCAAAGTAGTCCAGTGTGCTTGCCGTTCCCTCGAGTTATATGCTGTTCCTCTTTTGCTTTTTTGTTCATGTTCCAACAAAAATTGACCCAGCCCGTGATGGATACTTTCATGATGCTTTAGTCAGAGTAACATACGAAATGGATGTGCTTGTGTTGCACCGTTCCAGCTCTGTTTTGTCCTTGCTATCCGTTGGATTTTTTTGTTATACACACTTCACTGACATATCATGTTAACATCTGAACGATATCCTGTCACCAGTATTGACATCCCTCCTCCCTCCCCGCCGGGAGAGGGGGGGGGGGCGGAGCTCTGTATCTCGTCATTCACCACTCTTCCCTCGTTAAGTATCGTGTCACATGTTCCAGAGATACGTATGAATCAGCTACTCTAATCGTTCTTAGTCGTTCCTTTTCACTTATATCATCTTGATCGTACCTGGAATGGGTGGAATACGGTGGACAAAACATACTAACACCTTGAAGATGTTTATTTTGCCTCGTTTGTTAATGGTTGTGAGACTAGTGACCGGATTGCGTGTTTTTCATCATCTGCCTATCTGTTCTCAGCTGTACACCTTCGCTGCTCTGTCGGTTACAATGGAATCATGATAGCGAGTTTTCTTCGTTATTTTGTCTTTATTTCATATAACACCCTTGTACAGTCACATTTGGAGTTCGTAGATTCCCTATTCCAGTGTTCATTATGTATGCTACGGTCTAGCTTCGTTTGACTCTGTTTTAATAAGTCAAAGCGTAGAGATAGGAGCATTCTAGGCCGTGATCTTTCCTTACCGTATTGGCATATTGTCACTCTTCGCAGTTATTTTCGACCAACGGTTGTTGCCATGTTAGCGGGACCGTGGTTTATGCATATTTTTCACCCCACTGTTTCAGCGCCAAGCGTCTGGGCGTCTGTGTATCTACGTGTGCATAGTCGAACAAGCTCTAGTTACATGCATGTGCTTTCATGTATCCATTTATGGCTCGGGTATCCTTCTGGTCGCCTTCCTGTTACCGTGGGAAATAGTGCCCTCGTTCAAACTGGTTTGGTCTGGGCCTCAAACACCAGAATCCCTGTCGTATTACGACTGTGTGAATGCGCTCGGATCGAGATCTATTCTACCTCACTTGTAATGCGTGGCTGTTGGCGAGGCGATTCCGGCCGCCGGTTCCGTGGACCATATCCTCCCGGCTCTGAATTCGAGTTATTTTCAGGTCATTCGGATTTTATGCACCAGAAGTGGTCAATTAATCACATCCTATCTGCGATTTGTTGATGATGATTAGGTTCACTTCTGTCTGCGCACAGTATGACTGAAACAGGCGTTTGGCCTGTTTTTAATTGCGTCATTTGTGTGGGTGTGTGCGCGCACACTGCTGACTGCACAATGTACTACTTATTACGAGCATGTTGTGCTGTTCAGAATCGAGAAGAGCGAACATGCGCACACGTGCATAAGAGTTGATAGCATTCACAACCGAACTCCTGAAACTGATGTGTTGTTTTGGTCACCCCAATCCGGTCAATCTTTTGCTTGAGCTAATGGGCCAACTGATATTAGGCTTTGTTTGAATTTGTTTTCTTGCAAGCCAAAGTATGCAACTGTATCTTACACTAATGGTCACACAGATCATTATGTTCCGGAAAATACCACACAGATGCTCCTGTGGTTGTCGGTGCGATTGCATCTGGTTGAAGTCAAAAACATGTCCCGTTATGTCCACGGAGTGGTTGTACGATTCATATATAATCTATCAATCGGTTTTCACCATCTGCCAGCGCTTGGTCGTTTGATTTGAGGTGTGCGGAGAAGAGCTGTCTTGAGCTTTGAACCGTCATTTCCGATATGGTGATGGTTATCGAACTCTTGCCGCGTAAGGTTTCATTTGCATTCGGGATGTGTTCGGATGCCCATTTTTCTCTCTCATCGTTTGGAATCTCTTCTGACCAAATGACACCTATGTATATTGCATCTGTGTTTTAATTGCGACGAAACAGACACTCTGTCCATCGTTACCTTACCGTTTGATGTGATGAATTTGTCCCGTGCTATAAAATAGATTCCTTCACTTTCTTATTATTGCTTTTCTAATTGTCTTCTCGAAGCCTTGACATTTTCTGCAATCACTTGTATTTATTTATTCATTCCGTTTTTTTAAAATAAACGATAAAATTTTCAATACTTTTCCTCTGGTCTCGTTTATAGATCGGATTCACTCCGCTCTATATGGCTGCTCAGGAGAATCATTTAGACGTGGTCGATTTACTCTTGAAACGCGGAGCAAATCAGGCACTGACTACAGAAGTAAGCTTGCAAAAGCGGTTTATACTGATTTGAAGTTGAAAGTTTTGCCATTTTTGTGGCAAGCATCACCTGGACGACCAGCCTAGCCCCATATTTTGCTCGTTTTTTGGTTAATCGGAATGCACGAATTTTCACCGATTCTAACGGCATGTCCTTGGGCCAGATTATTACCTTTCTGTTCGTGCTGCAATACATTTTTCCAACTCTCCACGGTGAATTTAATGATATGTAATTATTGCTGATCGGTCTTTGCATCCTCCCGTGTGTGTGTGTGTGTGTGTGTGTGTGTGTGTGTGTGTGTGTGGCATACAGGAGTGCAAAACTGGTTGCGCATCCTTTCCACACAAAAACTTAAAATAATCCCGTTTAATGTCTTCCACAAGTTTTTTTTGTAACGTTGATATCCCAGTTGATCCGGACCAGTCATTATTGCTATCTAATCAGCATTTTGAGATTTATGTCATCGCATGGTGATGCGTGAAAGAAAAAAACCATCCTACGTTTACTCGCCTAATAGTCTCTGGTTTGAACCGAGCTACCAGTACAAGCCGAACAGCAATGAATCGTGGGTTGTTGTGTTCCACTCCTTCCTATCTTTCTCCTACTGCTTCATCCAAATGGGCATCCAAAGAGCAGTAATCAAAACCTGTGCACCGTGATTAATGTTTGTACGAACTGAACTGAACTGAACTGACACAGAACTCATGTATATCTTTGAATTTCAACGTACTGGATTTTTGATGCGGGTTCGTTGAATGCATCCAGCGAATTTACTGGTGTAACCTATTTGATTTTACATGTGTACGCGCTGTCCGGGCAATATTCTCTTTACGATTTCTCTGGTCGACCTGTTTTCACTCGTCCTCGGACATCGTTGTCTTCGCCTAGGCTAATGACTTGGCCATCGCTGTCAGACTGTCCGAAATTCTACGCGATCTAACTGCATCCGGGTCACTTGTACTGGTCTGACCCCAATAAATCTGGGCGTAGGAGAACATCCTTAACGCATTGTCAAAGCTTACGGCAAAGCGTGAATTCGTCAATCCGTCTATCCTTGGTCAGGTTTACGACGTGTGTCGGTCTTCGGTCTGACATCTTGAAGTCAGGTCAATTGAGTGAACTCAGTGATTTTCTTTCATCTTTTCCATTTGCTGAATACATAATCGTACAATCAATGTTAAGGAAAGGCGAAAGGGTCAATCAACGGTTCACCACATAATACTAAGATAATGCAAGATTAGGCGGCGACGACGGGGTTCGAACACACGACTATCGTAGCATTAAGTTGATGATCTTAGCCACTTGACCACCTCCTCATGATGAGAATTTTCGTTCCAGCAGTGTATCGTACATCAAATTGCAAACTACTTTCAGTATTCCCACTTTTGCCTTCCTAATTCCGGTTTGAATCACTGCCTTCTAACTGTCTATCCGGTTGACTAGTGAAGAAAGCAATAAGAATTCATGAGAGTCCGAGGAGGGTGGCAATGATGAATGGGACACGAAAAATGACACTTAAGAAAAAAATAAAGATCCACGAACCAACTAAATGTTTAAACTAAACCGATATCTAGAACTTATCGGGGTCTTCGTGATTTAGTCCACGGATTGAAGTTTGCCTATGTTCACTCCAAGCTACTCTGGTTGTCCTCCATAAACTTTAAAACACCTCACACTTCAGCCGCCATCGCATGTGAGTGAGCAGGTCATCTCATAACTTGCGTAACATACGTCTGAAATATTAGCCATAACCCATGGAGGATATCAGGCACGCATTAATGTCTGGTCGTACGTATTTGTACTGCGAATAACTTCGGCATTGCCCTTCCGGTCAACCTGTTGTTCATATGCAGGGTTGTCCGGGTGGGTAATGGGTGGAAAAAGTCGAGTTATTCAACTAAGATCTGGCATGGAACTCGTGCATGCTCGCATAGGTCGTGTTGAGTTGGTAACCATAGAGTCAGTGTAGTCGATGGTTAGAAACACTGAGTGTCTTAGGCAACAGAACTCGTGAATCTACTCAATTCTTTATCTTTGCCTTAATACGGCTTCACGCATTTCGCTCCATGCTTATGACAACAACCAAAACCGCATCGTGAAAGTGTAAGATTATTGGCTGTGTAAACTGAATCTAGGATCCCTTAAAGATGCTATGGATGTCTCCGAATCAACGAGTGCTGACACGGTCTTCTATACTCGTATGGATAATTCACCCCTCCTCCGATATCTAGCCACCTTCGTTTTCAGAATTTGTCTATGCTCACTATTATCTTCTCGACTAGTGTAGGGTTTCAAATGGGATCAGGTCAATCTCGCAACGATTGTCTAATTGCTAACCAAACGCATCAATCCTCAACCAGTGGAGTAAACTTTGCCATCTATCCGGATTTTCACTCGACAATGTAATTCCGTTTGCATAATCTAAATCGAACAGCTTGAGCACTGACAATTTTCGCCCAGCATATGGTGGACACTTGACATCCGTTCAAGCAATTTTGCGTGTTTCACGTTTGTACTAGCATTCGTTGTGACTCGAAATACAGAATCGTGTGCCGCGTTAATAGTACAGACGTGATATTAAACTGGATGATAGTGCAGATGTAGATAATCGACCGTTCCGATCAATCCTCTCCCAAAACCGGACAGTTTGAGTTGTCACTACCGTCTTGGTCCTACAGGTCCTGCGCTCGAACCTCGCCACCGCATTTCAAGGGTGCGCAGCACTATTTCTGTCCGGTGTTACACACTTAAACTGTCTTATTCAGATCTTTTTTATTTTACGAATAACTTATCCCACATTCGAATTCTTTGCAAATAAGGTTCACTACTTTCACGGTATTAGTGATATGCAGTGACCTTTGAGTAATTGAGAATGCAATAATAAAATAAAACATACGTTTTTATCCACACTACATATTTACAATGATAGACCAATACAACAAATGGACAGATGTTGAAACGTTTTACGTTTATTCATTTGGCAGACCGGACTTCTCACATTGTAAATTTTCGCTCACTGAGATTTCATAAAATTTCTCAACTACACACCCTCAAATGCGTAGATTATTCCGAGTGATGTTTGTTGCTGTTTTCGGTAAAAACGTGCCCATTATACAGGTTTGACATCCTTCAGTGCTTTTTTTCGCGTGTTTTTCACTCCAATCGTTCGTCAGATTTCCATTTGTTTTGTACGATCCCGTTTTTCCGTAGCTGTCCGTCACGTTGTACGCTATCGGCGGTGCTGTCATATTTCCCATTCTCTCAGTCTGTGTGTGTGTCTGGGCACGTACTACAGTTTCATAGTTACGCAATAACTGCTCATACGAGAAACTAAACAACACCTTTTAGAACTCATTGAACCATATCACTCGGTCTACAAACTTTCACGGATGGTTTGGTTTTTTCCTAAATGTCCATCTACCCATACCAATGAGAGCAAATCAGACAGGCAAATCCCACTAGTTGATCGCCATGGCTACCGTTTTCCCATAGTTTACGGGTCCCTATAAATTTGTTTTCGTCGTTGTTTTGTGATTGTCCTCTGCCGGTGCTGTTCGTGAAACAATTTTACTTTTAGTTGAATTTGCTGAATCATTGAGCGTTTTCGCTATATCTTTAGTGAACTGTGTTTCATTTTGATCAAATACAGTTTGTGCTTGGTTCCGTTCAGACCACAGTGTCCTGCTACGCTCTTTGGATTATTCTGTCGCGGTCAGAGGGAAGATTACACGTAATCAAGTTACGAAATGTGATTCAATCACTGTGCCGAATTGCTCCCGATAGTGGTGAGCTTCGTCCAAGACGCAACTGATGTGTCGGAATTCGCCATTCTGTTGTGAATCATGTTTTCAGTCTTCATCAACTTCTCCTCATGCTACGCACAGTTTCCCATCTCGTGTTCACCTACGTTTTCGTCCTATGCAAGATCGGGTTCAGCCTGGTCTGTGTGGTTGTCTCACATGCCTCTCGCCCGTTGCACACGATTCTCATCCCTTCCCTAACATCTGTGCTTCGTTCACAGGACGGATTCACTCCGCTCGCAGTCGCATTGCAACAGGGCCATGAACGAGTCGTGGCTCTGCTACTCGAACGGGATTCGCGCAGTCGTGGCGGTATGCCTGCTTTGCATATCGCAGCACGCAAAGACGATGTAAACGCTGTCGGACTGCTATTAAACAATCCGGAAGTGAATGTGAATCACCAAGCCCAGGTAATGCGGAATAGTTCTGTGTCTTGTTCTTTTTCACATCAACGATCGTGATTTGCATATTTCATTTTTATACCACTAAATGTACGGTCAAGTCAGAATTCAGGTGATAAATGTATAGTGCCGTGGTTTGTCTTCGTCGCCCAGATCCAATGTGACAGGACAACCGGATCAACACTGATGATGCAATGCACTGCACCAAATCCCGAGTTATCGCAGGCTTCGTTGATTAAGAGGTGTGTTATCCATGTCCCCTGGGATTTAGCGGTCGTTGAGGCTTTTCCTCCAACTTGTGAACTTTGGGATCAATGTGATATACTTTAATTTACTTCAGCTACCTCCTGCCGGAGGATAAGCGCCGGTTTCATGAATAGATGGCATTTTGAAAACTAAGCATGTGCTTGATTTAGAAAATTTATCCCTGTGATATAGATACATTTTCGTGATCATCTATGTTGTCTGCAATTATGTTAGATTTGACCTTGGGACAACAATCAAAACTACCGCATCTCAGGGCTAGGCTAATGGTTGAAAAATATTATCTACAAAGGTTTTAACCTACTTGTGAGGAGTAGGAGGAGGCATTGGTATCATTTGCTCCGCTAAACTGACCATTTCTTCCGTGCTCAATTATCACTCTTTTAGCCTTTCTGTCCTAAACATATTTCAGTTTTCACAGCATATCACACTTGTTTTCTCTTGGTCTGCAGTCCACGTGAGAACGAATTTATCGTACTGAAATGCCTACTGAATCAAACCATGTATTTACGACGAGTACTTGCGAATTCCCACACAAATTCTTTCCCCACAACCTCCCCAAATTATAGTTTTACTAGGGTTCAGAGTGAGTGGTGGGTGGGACCGGGTTGCCTTTCAACCTGTCTCAATGTGTCGAAACATAAGAAATGAAACCGCTCAACATACTCAGACAGTTAAATGCTCCAACGACAAAATTAGGACCGACTGTACTCGTTCTTTTTGGCATCCGGTTCAGAGTTCGAAACGTAGTTGCAAAAGTGCGCAATTCGTTCGAAATGACTTGACTGGTGATAACTTATGCATGGAAAACAAAGTGAACTGCACGGTCTATTTGAGGCTAAATGTTGACTTTGCCCCGGGGTTAGGGACTGTGAGACTCATGGTGTAAGAACAACGCGCAAGACTAGGTTCCATTTTTTATTCATTGCTGTTTACTCGTGCACATTGACTGTTTCGACTCATCCGACCTGTGTGTACACACACACACACCGCATAATGAACAGATGTTGTGTTCTCGAGTATGGGTAGAAAACTATAATGAAAAATAGTTAACTTTTATCAGATGTGACTGTTCGTCCAATTTATCTTTGTTCGGGGATTTCAAACGGTATTCCTTCGGGAGTACTTCGCCAACAGGACAGAGTATTTACTATAGATGGGACCTACTCTGTACTTTAATCTGGTTGCTGCGCCTGATGCGTCTGTTTGGATGAATGATCCTTTGACAAACGTGTTCAGTCGAACAAGCTAGCTATACGCAAAGGCCAATCGTCCATTTTGCTTTCCATTGTCGGTATGAGTTGGGAAAGGTTCTGAACGGATTGTCTTCTTGATTGAAATCAATCGTCTGTTGGTTTTTGCACCTACATGCGTTTGGAGAAATTAACTCACCCGTTTCACTCTGATGTTCCAACGGGGAGCAATGTCACGGGATCAAAAGTCATAGATACAGATTAGTGATTGTGGATCAACGCTTGAATGCGCTTCACTAGCACTGACACGGATTCAAATTTTCCCCGATCGGTCCACGTAACTCAGTCAATAAGCAGGACACATAAGCTCTACCCATACGTGAGATGTGCCAGATTCAAATTGTGGATAACCACTGTCCGATATGTCAGCGAGGCGATTGATGGCCATCATTTAAATGAACAACTGCGTTTTGAAGTGCTCACAATCTATGCGTGTCTTTTATTTTGCCTCAGCTCCTAATTGGAAATGAAGTAGCTGGGATTGAACAACTTATTTTCAATCCCCTTGGAAGCTACGCAGTTGCTTGAGTAGGAATCTTGTTTTCGTCTTTCGGCAGTAACTGAGACTGTTCCGTAACGTGCAACGTGTTATTCTGATTATTCTATACACTTTTTTGTCTTCTGCGTTGTTTTAATGTTCGCGTATTGTAACGCTCCCTTCCTCCGCTCATCATACCTACTTAATCATTTTCCTAGTACCCGTAATGTAATCCGTCATCCTTAACGTGTGGGCTAGAATCATGTGTCTTCGTCAAAGATCGATCTGTCTGATACTTTCACGCATGTCACCATCCTTTTTTGTCCTCCAGCACGGATTCACGCCACTTCACATTGCNGCACGGATTCACGCCACTTCACATTGCCGCACACTACGGGAATGTTAATGTCGCTCATCCGCTGATTGAACGTGGTGCGGATGTTAATTTTCAGGCAAAAGTGAGTTTCTCGTTTGTTCCGCTCCGTGGTTTGTTTATTGTACCGTTTTCACAGGTTGTTTCATTCCCACCCTATTGTTTATCTCACACACGGAATTTGACTCCGTAACCCAAAGACACTACTGTGCACAATAAGGCCAGTGATTGTATTCCTCTTTCGAACTGAGGGAAATTGGTGAGCGAAAGCGAGTGGGATGGATTTACTACAGCAGCGCAGGTTGATAGCTAGTCGGGATGTACGTTCGAAATAGGCATATTTCTAGAGGGTCTCTTATTGGGCAGTAAGACCTAGGAAGGTCGGGAATAGATTTTTTAAAAATCACTCATTTGAATGAAAAGGAGCCTCTTCGCTGGAACAAAACGCACACAAGTCCATCGAACCACCTCGACCTGTGCTCAAAATTTCCAAAATATAAGGAGTTAAAGCCAGGTGACCTGATCTTCATCAACGGTACTTGGTTGGTCTTCATCCACTTGCGGTTCGTTTCATTATCTGTTTTATGGTCGTTCTTTTGCGACTGTTCTTGAAAGGCAAATCTGGACTGAACGAGACCTTAGTGTCACTGGTGTAGAATATCGCTTAAACAGGGCTTCGGCCACGAACTGCAGACGGCAGAAGTAGAACGGACATTGGCACATAAACTGAATTGATGTACGGGCTTTGTAGGGTCAGTTTGTAAGTGTGAGCTGGTTTTCATCGACGAAACTATGATTGGTTCGAGGGACCGGGAAATACTGAATGAACAACGATCAGCCTTTGCTTTCCAGGAAGACAACACTGGACACTTTCTGTATCTTTTGACAATGTGTTCTGTGCCAGTGACCGATGCATCGCCCAGACTACGGTCGGTTAGCCTGCATTCAAACGGTAGTCATTCAGTACACTACCTTTCGTGTGAGTTTTCAGCAGTAAAATGGATCCAGTCCTGTTTTGAAGATCCTGAGGTTACGAAATTATTCCTCTGCAAAAATCGAAATATCCCACATTGCAGGTTCTCGTTTGTCTGAGACCATCAACTCCTCCCGGGTAAACGATAATATATGCCAAATAGTCCTGATTACAGTGCCGGGTAGGGATCACGAAAATCAGGTCGTCTGATTGTCTTGTGTTTTAAGAGCTCCGAGCATAGTTCCAATCGGTTAAATAGGTGTGTGTGTGTGTATGTGGATTTTTCGTGTTGATCGGCGTTCTGATTTGCACGGAGCATCATTGTGAATACATGTGTGCGCTTATACCCTTAAGCATTGATCATCATCCTTTAGTACGCTGGGCGATGCTCAGCCAGCTGACGGAGAGTACCAGTCTGACACTTACCGTCCACTTTCGTGAGCGTACGTAACATGGCAAACTCCCCAAAAGACCCGACGGCACTTCATCAATGTAGTCATATGTACTGCCACATCGTTCACTGTTTTACTCTGTTCATTGCGTCGCGTTGCTATTTTTCTCCCATCTAACCTCGCGGTCTTCACGGCAGTTCATTTGTCTTCAGTTTGGTTACTGGTGTTAGGCTACATAGAGGTAAGTCGTGGCTTTATGGGTTCCAGATTGCGTGTGTTGAAACGCGTTTCAAGATCGGATCGTCGCTTAGTCAGTGGTTCTATGGCTGTTGGTTCTTCTGTGGTGTGTGTGTATGTGTGTGTGTGTGTGTGTGTGTGTGATGTTCTCACTGTTAGCTAGGAGTGGAAGGATCAAAGCAACTCATCACGAGATCAGTTTACAGACACACACATCGACACTTTTATGGTCCCATTATGAAAGGATCTGTCAGTATTTTCAAAGTGGTACACTTTCTGTTATAATTTCAATTCTATTCTTATAATTGTCGAGGATAGTCGCTGTTTCGAACAGCACAATCGCTAGTATGTAGATCACAATCAGTTTGTTAACGATCCCGTTTAGTTTCTTGCCCAATTATCAAACTGTTTCACAAGGCAAAAGCTCTAATCTCGAATACCGCTGGAATGTTGCAAAGTTTATTCTCTGCGTGTGTTAGCGACCTGTATACCTGTCACATCCATTTCACCTGTTCTAGAATGCGGGGATTGCACGATGCTGCCAATCTCCTCTAAATCTATTCATTCTTTCATGATTTGACTCGAATTCTCATTTGGTCCACGCAGATTGCTGTTACAAACACACACGTGTGCTTGTATGTGCCGGCTTTCACACTCACAAGAATGCAGCAATTAATGGTGATTGAATTCAATCCAATGTCTATTAGTTACGAAAGGCAATAAGTTCAATCTTTCACGCGTTTACTTTTACACCCCGGAAATCAAGACACCTATCCTTACAGATTTGCCAACTCAGTAGTACCGGACTCCATGATTAATTAATTATCTATTCGTCTGGTGCTGTTCCCGTTCTATTTATCGCTTATGTATAAATATATATATATATATATACATATATATATATATATATATATATATATATATATATATA